GCGCCTACACTGCCGCCGCCCGTCGAGCGCCGGCCCTACCCGCCCGTCGAGCGCCTGCAGCTGCCCGTCAAGCGCCTGCCCTGCCGTCGCCCGTCGAGCGCCTGCCCTACCCGCGCCTGTCGTGCGCCTGCCCTACGCGCCACCGGTGGCACCTGACCTACCCGCCCCTGGTGAGCACCTGCCTGCCTGCCTAGCCGCGCCGCTCAGCCGAGCCGCGCCGCTCAGCCGAGCCACGCCGCCCTACCGAGCCGCGCCGCTCAGCCGAGCCGTGCCGCTCTGCCGAGCCGCGCCGCTCTGCCCTACTGAGCCGCGCTGCCCTGCCCGCGCTGCTCCTGCTGCTACTGCTGCTTCTGCTACTACTGCTGCTACTGCTGCCACTACTGCTACTGCCACCATGGCTAGCCCTATAGTTCTTACCTTCGATGCTGAGGGTCGTGCAGTTGACTTCAATGTTTGGGTAGATGATATGCAGCTCTTTCTTCAGTGCGATTCTAAGGACGGAGTCTCGCTTTTCGATTTCACGTCCGGCGCCGTTGCTGCACCTGCTGCCGATGCTGACAGTACGGTTCGCTCGCAGTGGACTACTCATGACGCTGTTGCTCGTCTTGCTGTTCGTAGTCACCTGCCGTCTGCTGAACGCGTGCACTTTGGCCAGTACAAGACTGCTAAGTCTTTGTATGACGCTGTCGTAGCGCGCTACTCCTCCCCTGCCACTGCTACCCTCAGCCGCCTCATGCTACCGTACCTGTTCCCTGACCTAGCCGCCTTTGCCACAGTCGCTGACCTCATTACTCACCTCCGCACTAGTTACGCCCGCTACCGCGCTGCGCTTCCCTCCGAGTTCATCACCAAGAACCACCCCCCCATGTACATCACCCTCTTCTACCTAGTCACCCGTTTCCGACTCCCTTTCCTCAGTCAGGGACCACTTCCTCTCCCTTTGCCCCACCGAGCTCACCGTCGACCTGCTAGAGGAGCGCCTCACTGCAGCTGAGAAGAGTATAGTAACTGTAGGTGCTTCTCGCGGCAACCCTCGCGCCCCGTTCTTTGAGGGGTGTTCCCCCGTTCCCCTTCTGCCCTCTGTTGCTTCTGCTGCTGCTGTCAACCTCCTTGGCAAAGAGGAGGTCGGGGCTGCGTCTGCTCCTAGTGGGAGGCGCCGCAGCAGCAAGGGCAAGGGGGGCAAGGGTGGTGGAGGGGACGGCGGTGGCGGCGGTGGTGGCGGTGGAGGAGGCGGAGGGGGTGGGGGTGGAGGCAAGGGTGGTGGCGGGAGTGGGGCGTCGGTGGCGGCGGTGGAGGTGGTGGAGGCAGCGGCAGCGGTGGTGGAGGCAGCGGCAGCGGCGGTGGAGGCAGCAGCGGCGGCGGTGGAGGTGGCGGCGGGGGTGGTGCTGGTCGGGGTGCAGCTGCGCAGCGTGGAGGCTTTGGCGGTAGCCAGCGCCAGCAGCTTCGTGAGTGGTACGCTGGGCGTGGGAGGTCTGGGGGTGCTGGTCCCTGCACTTACGTTCTCCGAACCGGCGGGCGCCGTGGGGAGACATGCGGCCTGCCACACTCGCCGCATCGCTGTTTCGGTCGCCTGTCTGACGCCTGGCGCGCACATTTTCCTGACGCCACTGAGCTCCCTAGCTGGGCTGATCTGCTTAGGCAGAATGTTGATATCTTTGCTCTTGACTATGATGCTATCCTTGCTGCCATGTATGATGTGACTATTAGTGCTGAGGATGACTGTTACCTGTGTGTGCCGCCTGACCTAGGTATAGAGTCTGCTGCTCTAGGTGCTGGTGAGGCTGCTGCTCTAGGTGCTAGTGAGTCTACTGCTCCAGGTGCTGGTGAGTCTGCTCTCTCTGGTACTGCGCCTTCTGAGGCCTTGCACACCTTCACACTTGACTCAGGTGCTTCCCGCTCCTTCTTTCGCGACAGCACCACACTCATGCCGCTCAGTCGGCCGGTTGCAGTGTCCCTGGCTGACCCCTCTGGGGGCCCAGTCCTTGCGCACTCCTCCACGGTCCCGTCTGGCTCACTCTCGGGTCTTCACCTCCCCTTGTTCTCTACGAACTTGGTGAGTGGAGCTGACCTCCAGGATAGGTGGGTTGACCAGTTCACTCTTGGAGGTCAGTGGGTGACCCACTGTACGTGCTCCCGGACGGGCCGGCACCTAGCCACGTTTACCCGTGCGCCTGGTTCAAGTCTGTACACACTGACTACAGTGTCCCCTCAGGTAGCTGCGTCTGCGTCTGTGCCAGGTCAGCTAGCGGCCCCCTGCTCGTGTCGCGCTTTGTCGCACCAGACCGTCCTTTGGCATCACCGTCTTGGTCACCCCTCGGTGCAGCGCCTTCGTGGCATGCACCGCCGTGTCCTTGTCTCTGGTCTTCCCAGGGTTCTCCCTCCCCTCCCACCCTCGCCTGCTCCTCCCTGTCTTCCCTGTGTCGAGGGGCGGCAGCACGCCGCTCCTCACTCCTCCTCGTTTCCCCCGACGACTGCTCCCCTGCAGACCCTCCACATGGACGTGTGGGGCCCAGCCCGCGTTCGTGGACAGGACCGCGAGCGGTACTTTTTGCTGGTCGTTGACGACTACACGCGTTACACCACGGTCTTCCCCTTGCGCACCAAGGGTGAGGTCCCTGATGTTTTGATCCCTTAGATCCGCGCTGCCCATCTCCAGCTCCGCGAGCGGTTCGGGACGGACTTTCCCGTCCTGCGTCTGCACTTTGACAGAGGTGGTGAGTTTGCCTCTGACTTTCTGCGGGACTTTTGTCGAGGGAAGGGCATTCGCCAGACGTTCACGCTCCCGGCCTCACCGCAGCAGAATGGGATTGCTGAGCGCCGCATTGGCTTAGTCATGGAGGTCGCTCGTACCTCCATGGTCCATGCGGCTGCCCCCCATTTTCTATGGCCGTTTGCGGTCCGTTACGCTGCGCATCAGCTCAACCTCTGGCCCCGTGTCTCCTTGCTGGAGACCTCGCCCACACTGCGTTGGACGGGGAAGGTTTGCGATGCGTCAGTGTTTTGGGTCTAAGGTTCTCATGCCTTTGTCCGCGATACTACCGCGGACAAGCTTTCCGCCCGTTCTATTCCCTGCGTCTTCCTTGGCTTTGTCCCTGACGCGCCTGGCTGGCAGTTATACCACCCCATCTCGCGCCGTGTCCTGCCCTCTCAGGACGTCACGTTCGACGAGTCGGTTCCCTTTTACCGTCTCTTCCGTTACCGCACTGCCTCTCTCCCCCCCCCGCAGCTCTTCCTTGCCCCAGGTCCTCCTCCGGTAGACCCCCTCCCCCCTCAGGGTCCTGCTCCCTCAGGTGTGTCCCAGGTAGACGCTGTCGAGCCTGTCGAGGTAGCGGTTGACTCTGGTGCGGATACTGAGGGTGGTGCTGCTGGGGGTACTGAGTCTGAGCGTACGGAGCCTGGGGGTGCTGAGCCTGAGCGTGCGGAGCCTGGGGGTGCTGAGCCTGAGCGTGTGGAGCCTGGGGGTGCTGAGCCTGAGCGTGTGGAGTCTGGGGGTGCTGAGCCTGGGGTTGCTGAGTCTGAGGGTGCGGAGCCTGGGGGTGCTGAGCCCTGGGGTGCTGAGTCTGAGGGTGCTGAGTTTGAGGGTGCTGAGCCTGGAGGTGCTGAGCGTGAAGGTGCTGAGCCTGCGGTTGCTGAGACTGGGGGTGCTGAGTCTGCTGGAGTTCCTGCAGGTGCCTCGTCTCGGCGGGAGCCTCTCTCTCCACCGCAGCTGCATGAGTGGTTTGCTCGCCGCTGGAGACTCCAGCAAGGTGCTGCTAGAGATGTAGCTGCTGGAGGTCCTGCTGGTGCAGGTGCCGCTGGAGTTGGAGCTGCTGGAGGTACTGCTGGAGCTGGAGCTGCTGGAGCTGGAGGTGTTGCCGGAGCTGGTGCTGCTGGAGGTACTGCTGGTGCTGGTGCAGCTGGAGGTGCTGGAGCCGCTGGTCCCAGATGTGCTCGTACTGGAGGTACTGGAGCTGCTGGTGCTAGTGGTGCTACCGGAGTTGGAACTGGAGGCGCTAGGGTTGTTGCTGCTGGAGGTGCTACTGGAGCTGGAGCTGCTGGAGGTGCTGGAGCTGGTGGTGCTGCGGGAGTTGGAGCTGCAGACCTTGGAGCTGGGGGTACTGGTACTGTCTCTGCTGATTCTGGAGGCACTGCGCGGCCGCGGCTGAACTTCGTTCCACTTCTTCAGCAGGTCCTTAGCCTCCCACCTTCTACTGGTCCCACTCTTCCTTTACTGTGTCCACAGCTTGCCCCGTCGCAGTCGCAGCTACAGCCAGCCTCTCCACTGCCTGGTCCTTCTCCTTACTCTGGGCTGACTAGAGGTCTTACGGAGCGTCGTGAGCCTGAGTCTCGTCCTATGTCGCCTGAGTCTCGTCCTACGTTGCCCGTTCGCGCTGTTCACACTGGTAGTCGTGTCCCGCGTCCGCGTCCTTCTGGTGTCCCAGGCACGCACCAGATGGCACTTCGTCCTCCCACTGCTCCACTGCGTGTCCCTCTGCCGTCTCCTCCTGCGTCCTCTCTTGCAGACGGTCCGGACCCGGAGTCTGACTCCCTTCGTGCTGCTAGTCCTACTGTCACGCGTCTCCTGGCCACTGTTGTCACTGACCCGTCGTTGGAGTCCACTGCTGCGTCTGCCCTAGTTGCTGAGCTTGTTGACTTTGCTGCCGCCTGTCGTCTAGACTACGTCGCTAGTCCTGTTGTTGAGTCTGAGTCTGTCTGTCCTCCGTCCGTCGGGGGTGAGTGTGATCTTGGCACGGACGTCCTTGAGGATAGGCAGGAGGATTTTGAGTGCTTTGCCGCTGCTTTACCTCATCTCGTGTCCATGCTGCTTGCACTTGAGGGAGAACCGGATGCACCAACATCCCGACCCCGCGCTCTTACACAGAGGCGATAGAGGGTCCCTACTCCTTTCAGTGGCAGATAGCCATGGACGCAGAGATGGCTTCCTAGAAGTCCACAGGAACCTACGTCGACGAGGTTCCCCCGCCTGGGGCAAACATCGTCAGAGGCATGTGGATTTTCAGGGTGAAGCGGCCGCCGGGTTCTCCGCCTGTCTTCAAGGCGCGTTACGTTGCACGAGGCTTCAGTCAGCGAGAGGGAGTTGACTTCTTCCAGACCTTCTTCCCCACCCCGAAGATGACCACTCTTCGGGTTCTGCAGCATGTCGCCGCTCAGCGTGACTACGAGCTGCACTCTCTTGACTTCAGCACTGCTTTCCGTAAGGGCAGCCTGCACGAGGAGATCTGGCTGCGCCGCCCACCTGGCTTCACTGGGTCGTTTCCTGCTGGTACCCAGTGGAGCCTCCGGCGGCCAGTCTACGGTCTCCGCCGGGCGCCCTGTGAGTGGCACGACACACTGAGGACGACCCTTGCGGCTCTTGGGTTTGCTCCTTCCACTGCTGACCCGTCGCTGTTTCTACGCACCAACACCTCTCTGCCGCCATTCTACGTCCTCGTGTACGTCGACGACTTGGCCTCTGCTACTTCTGACACCGAGGGACTCGCCCACGTGAAGTCGGAGTTGCAGAAGAGACACACGTACACAGACTTGGGTGAGCTGCGCAGCTATCTTGGCTTCCGGATCACCCGGCACAGAGCACAGCACATCATTACTTTGACTCAGTCACACATGGTGCAGCAGGTCCTTCAGCGCTTCGGCTTCATGTACTCCTCGCCACAGCCCACTCCTCTGCCTACTCGCCACTCGCTCTCAGCTCTGCCTTCGGATGAGTCCGTAGAGCCGAGTGGCCCATATCCAGAGCTTGTGGGCTGCCTCATGTACCTGATGACCTGCACTAGACCTGACCTAGCCTACCCTCTTAGCATCATGGCACGCAACGTTGCGCCCGGGAGACACCGACCAGAGCACTGGAAGGCCGCTAAGAGGGTGTTGCGCTACTTGTGCAGTACGTCGGGCATGGGGCTCGTGCTTGGAGGACGGGCTCGAGTTGTCCTCACTGGTCACGCAGACGCTTCCTGGGCTGACGACTTGGCTACGCAGCGGTCGTCACAGGGTTAGACTTTCAGCCTTGGCTCTGGCTCTGTTTCGTGGCGGTCTACCCGCTCGTCAGCTCCAGCTGTGAGGCTCAGATCTACGCAGGGGCCATGGCTGCACAGGAGTTACGCTGGCTCACCTACCTGCTGACCGACCTGGGAGAGCCGCCTCGTTCTCCTCTAGTGCTGTACGTCGACAACAAGGCCATGATTGCCTTGTGTCAGGAGCACAGACTGGAGCACAGAACGAAGCACATCGCTCTGCGTTACTTCCTTGCTCGAGAGTTGCAGCAGCGTGGTCAGCTTCGTCTTGCTTACGTGGCCACTCGGGCCAACACTGCTGATGTCTTCACCAAGGCACTTCAGCCTTGTGATCATCAACGTTTCTGTACTGTTCTAGGCCTTGTGCCCACTGGGCCTCACTTGTTTACTTCTTGACTTTGCTTGTACTGTGATCTTTATACATATACCTGCATGCTTACACTTGCTAGGTTGTGATCACTGTATTGTTTGTTCACCTTTATATAACTCTGCATGTGAACTGTCCTTGTGGCCATTTGCTTGTGCTCAGAATGCGTGGTGACCTCGTGATCCACCCTAAGCTTGCTTTGCTTCTCTCGACTGGTCTTGTGACCTCTTGTTCTCCCCCACTTTGCCTATGGGGGTGTGTCAAACTTATATGCTATAGTTTGTGTAGGCTGTAGTGGGGTAGTTCATATGGGGTACAACACTTTAGGGTTTCCTACTTGTACTCCTCATGCTGCTCAATGCAATCATTCCTCGTTCTGTTTTCACATAACTATCGTCGCCCCCGCGGTTTTTTGAAGACTCGGTTTTAGTGGTCGAAAAAACTTCGCTTGTAAACTGCTCTGATTACCAAGTGTGAGGATCTAGGATCGAGCTCAGAAAAGAGAGTTTGAATTGAATGAATCACCTGGGTACAACACGAGGCTATATATAGGCTTGACACAAGGCCCAGTAACCAGGTGTTACACTAAGGTTCTGAGGGTCGCGAAGCGTCCCGAACAGACCCTTCCCGAATTCGGTAGAAGGCAATTCGGTGGCAACCGAAAAGCCCAGAATTCGGTGTACGCAACCTAGCTCGGTGCTATAACTATAATAAAGTATAGGAAAGCACCTTGCCTAGGAAATCAAGCAATTCATGCATGCAGAAAATAATCCTATGCTAGAAATAGCATAAAAAAATATAGGCAAGCAAGCATAGCTCGCATAAGCCGACGTACTCTCACACATAACCCCCCAGGCCAGCGTGCCCGTAACGTTTCCTTAGGATCAATGGGGGATCTCCAGTGGACCTCTGACACCCCCCCGCACTGGGATGCCCGAGGTGCACACACTGGGATTCGAACCCGAGACCTTCGCTCTAATTCTACGTCAGAATCCCAGCCACTAACCACTGGGATAAAAGGGCTTGTTTGTGTAGCGGGTGAGCGCGCCCATAACCCCCCATGCCAGCGTGCCTGTAACCCTTGCCTAGGATCAATCGGGGATCTCCAGTGGACCTCTGACAGAGCCGCGTGCAACGACTGGGCCAGAGGAGAGGTCGACCAAGGTGACAAGGAAAGGTGCTGTCACAGGATCGAATTTCCACTCGAGAATGTTCCACTAAAGGTGAATACAAGGCGTATTTATACTCAGAAATACATAGAAACAACACATAATCCGAACCTTCGGGTATGCGCTCTTCTGTAATAAATAATCACTAGTGCGCAGAAGCACGCAAGCCCATTGGCACTTCGGATTATGGCGAGATTACGCCTTGTACACCACTGTCGGTGCTGTCGGTACCATATAATGTAATTGTCGGTGCTGAAAATTCAAAATCATTGAAATAGTCAGAAAGCTCTAGAAAATAGAATAGTAGTCCGATTGAGGTGAAATATAGTGCAGATAAAAGAGGAAAGTAAGGAGAATAAGATAAAGGAAAAATATGGAAATGTGAAATATGTCGAACGTCGGCGTACTCTCACTCTTCCCCCCCTCAAAGCTGGGTGGTAGATGTAACACCCCGCTTGACAAGGTAGTCTTGGAGAGAACGTCGGGTGTTACTCATGTCCTCTTCAGAGACCCAGCTGTCCTTGGAAGGATCATAGCCCTTCCAGCGTATCAGAGACTCCAGGGGCGCCATGCCGACGATGATGATGCGCAAGCACAGGCTCGACCTCGTACTCTGGTTCATCTTTCACGAGGACTGGAGGCGGCGGTGGAGGTTGGCGTCCCGTGTACAGCTTATTTGGATCTTCCATAAGACGCTGCACGTGGAAGGTGTTATGAATCTTCCAAGTAGCTGGTAGCCGCAAGCGGAATGTGACTGAAGTGACCTGCTCTTCTACGAGGAAAGGTCCGCAGAAGCGAGGTCGCAACTTGGATGGAGGTGACCAAGGTTGAGGTTGTATGTGTCAAGAAGCACATGGTCACCAACCGCAAGGGTATGATCACGGCGATGGTGATCGGCCGAGCGTTTCTATGAAGACTGTATATCTTGCAGACGCTTGTGTGTCCGATCCCAAAGCTGCTGCATTGTGGTAACGGTGTCGTGCGCGGACTGGACGGTTGCCGGTACTGTCGGCTGTTGTGGAGTTAGAGGATGTCGACCGTAACAGAGAAATATCAGGGTGTCTCCTGTTGCGGCATGCTTCGCATTGTCGTAAGCAAACTCCAATACCGGCAAGTCCAAGTCCCACTTGCTAATGTCGTCTTTGCACGCTGTGTGCAAGAGCTGTTCCACAATCTGCGGACGCTGTGAAATTCGTCATGTGGGCGAATGTCGTCCAGGAGGTTATCGCGAAGTCAACTTGCGGAACAACATCACGTGCTCGACGGTGCACCGCTGGCAAAACCGTCGGCACGTGTTCTACCTGGCACCTGCGCAATGTGCCTGGCGGCACGACCGTCTACATGCACCTACTTGGTAGGTGCGCATATGCGTAGAAGTTCACATGCCTCTGCGGCGCGCTGGCAGACTACTCTGCTGCAGCGTTGGCAAGCCGCTCCTCTGCTGTGCTGGCATAGTTTGTCATGTATGTAGAGGGCTTGCTAGGTGTTGCAATGCCATTCTGGCTATATCGACTTGCATGCCTCATTATAATGTAATGCTCTCTCAATTTCTTAGTGAAACTCTTGCCATATTTCCTTCTGAACAGAGCAAGTAGTGAGAACGCCTAGTGCAAACGCTACGATTACCCGCACAATCCCGTGCCTTCCTCCGTAGTTCACTCCCGTTGTGTAGTGACTCTCCGCAGATTGTCTCATTGATTGGATCGTAGGGCATATCCCATAGTTCTGTGTTTTCTCCTGGGCTGGCAGATGGCCGGTTCTGCCTTTCTTTATCGCCAAGTTTTTTTTGTTGTCGTCGACGACGTGGTTCTCGAGCTCGTAGTAGAATTCTTAGATGGGGTAGATATCGTAGATATTTCAGATGCATCTTTAGAGGAGGTTTGAGGTCATCGCAGCTTCATGTTGACCTCCAGCTTCCTCTTGAGCTGCTTCAGCACCATCAACTTTTTCAGTGGGGACCGGTTGGTCGACGTGGGCTGGTTGTTCTGAGAGAGGACGATGTCGTCGTTCCCGATGGAACTTGATCGACGCGAAGGCAAGACCAAAAAAGAACAAATCTGCGTGTTCTTTCTACGGCAAGCCAGGACATCGGCTCATCGATTGTGACGAAATGAAAACCGCACATTCAGCGATTCGGGGCTGCAGCAGTGGAGCAGTTTTAATGCGAAAGTTGGAAGATCGTAGAGTGAATTTTTTAACCCACGAACGGACTCTACCAGGGAAAATCGCCGAGAAAAAAAAAAATCCAAATTAGGGTTTGCTACTTGTACCCATCCTGCTACTAGTTCATTTCATTCCTGTTCATTATTCTGACATGGTATCAGAGCAGGTCCTAGCCTAGGACCGATCTCTTAGGGCCCACCGAGTAGCGCTACCCCACCCGTCGCGTTGTACTGCCCTGCCCTGCACTGCCCTGCCCTGCCCTGCCCTGCCCTGTGTCAGAGGTCCACTGGTGATCCCCGACTGCTGCAGCGCGCCCTACTGAGTCGCGCGCCGCCTGCTGCAGCGCGCCCTGCCCTGCCCGCGCGTCGCGTCGCCGCGTCGCCCTGCCCGGCGCGTCGCCCTGCCCGCGCGTCGCGCCGTGCGCCCTGCCCGCGCCTGCGCGCCGCGCCGCCGCGCGCCCTGCCCTGCCCGCGCGCTGCGCTGCCGCGTGCCCTGCCCTGCCTACGCGCCACGCTGCCGTGCGCCTCTGCCCTGCCAGCACGCAGCGCCGCCGCGCGCCTCTGCCCTGCCCGCGCGCGCGCCTCTGCCCTGCCCGCGCGCGCGCCTCTGTCCTGCCCGTGCGCGCGCCTCTGCCCTGCCCGCGCGCACGCCTCTGCCCTGCCCGCGCGCGCGCCTTTGCCCTGCCCACGCCGCGCGCCTCTGCCCTGCCTGCGCGCCGCGCCGCGCGCCCTGCCCTGCTTGCGCGCCGCGCCGCCACGCGCCATGCCTTGCCCGTGCGCCCTACCTGAGCGCCGCGCCCTGCCCTGCCGTGCGGCCTGCCCTGCCGTGCGCACCCTGCCCTACTGCTGTACTGCTGCTCTAGGCCGCCTTCTCCTGCCCTACCTGTTCCCAGACCTGTCCGCCTTTGCCACAGTAGCCGACCTAGTCACTCACCTCCGCACTAGTGACACTCGCTACCGTGCTACGCTCCCCGCCGAGTTTCTCGCCAAGAACCCCCCCCCCCCCCCCCCATGTACATCACGCTCTACTTCATAGTCATCCGCCTCCCTGACTCTCTTACTGCAGTCAGGGACCTCCTCCTAGCACTTGACCCCACCGACCTCACTGTCAACCTGCTCGAGAAGCACCTCCTAGCAGCTAAGACTAGCATAATCGCTGTAGGCGCTTCTCGTTGTACTCCTCGCACCCCCTTCTTTGAGGGGTGTTCGCCCTCCCCCCTTCTCCCCTCAGTCGCCTCTGCTGCAGCTGTTGACTACCTTCGTGCTGAGGAGGTAGGAGCTGCGT